CTGCTGGGAAAAGCTCCCAGCAGGCCAGTTACCTAAAAGCTGTGCAGCTTTGTTCCTCTGGGGACTAGATACTCTCTCAGGGTGTTCTTCTGTCCAGATTTGTGTTATGAGCAGAGTCAGGATACAGAATATCTTGATTGCTCAGCTGGCACCCCAAACAGCAGCACAACTGCTCCTGCTGTACTCAGACCCCTTACCCAGGGGCCTAGACACTACTCCCATATGTTGCCTTTACCAAACCTGAGCTTCAGGTAGTGCATGGATCCTCCTGGGCATGCTCACAGCAGCTTATCTGGAGTTCCTCTTTTTGGCATCTAGGAAGGTTTTTCCCTCTCACAAGGTGGTGTTTTTGCCAGACTGGTGGTATAAGCCATGCCACGATGGAGAGGCTGCTGACAGTGCATCTGAACACCACACTCAGCAATCTTCCTCGGGAGCCTGATATTCCCCCACCATGCTGATTTGTGGCCAGACCACCACTATACTTAGTACCTGAACTGAAAACCACTTGACTTTTGGCAGGGCAGTCATACACTGAAGCCTGTCCTCTCCTTGGTATTTATTTTCATGCTATGGGACCTTAGGCTATATCTCAAGGTGGCATTTTCACTGCTTGCAGGATCGAATACTTCCCTTGATTTGCTTTACCAGCACCCCTGATACAGGCTATCAGCTGGTGCTCCTCTCCATCAAGTTGCTTTCCATTTCTATGACAGGGCATGGTTTGACCCCTTTCCCAAGCACTTGAGGATCCTGGTAAGCATCCTCCTGGAGTGTCTTCCAGCATCTTGCAATGTCTTGTTAGTTTACTCCACCATGATGGAGCTCAATTTACTTCTTGCTTTTAACTATTAATTTATTACAGCAGATAGTCTGAGATTAAGAATTTTTTTTATTCATTATTGTAATTTTTCCATTACTGTCAGTAACTCGGAGCTACAATGAGAGATTTTAAAGGAGTATGTGCCTACTAGGAGTTGGTTTCAATGCTGATGAAACTCACAATATCGTCAGTGTGTGTGCATGGGTTGTTAGGAGGTGAGGGTTACAATCAGAACAACATCCATCATTGGAGGGCAAGCATAGTGGAGCAGTCATTCACACATTTGGTTAAGCTGGTTAAAGCTTGCAAATACAGTGTGGCCTGGGCAGTGGTCCAGCAGAGTGCATATGGCTTTTACAGAGCCAGCTCATCGTTTTGTGACACCACATGCGATGGAACCTGTGCTGTAAAATGGGAGAACCAAACCATGAATTGCACTGTCAATGTGATTGCCATTGCAATTGTCCTGTGACCATCTAAAAATATTGGGCCAAAGCCCCAAACTTAAGAGTGTGTCAGTGTATCCTTTCCAAAAAGAGTAATATTTACTTATTATTATGTGAGATGACAAGTGTGCAGTGTGCTTCAAAGCTATCAACCTGACTATTATAAGCAAATAATCTCACAATATGTTAATAGATTATCTCATATTCTATATGGTTTCATTAAAATAGGAAAAATTGAGTATTAACAAGAAATAAAAGGAAAAACATGGCATCATATGATATATAATCTTATACCTGCTTTTTACAAACCCTATTACATATCTATGGAGATAAAAAAAAAATCCATTCAGAAAATAGCATTATCTTTCAGCTAGAGAACTTACCACAGATAAATATGTGACCAAAAAAGCTACAAGGAAAATGTGGAGGAATGATAAAAATTAGCTAACACTTTTTAGGATTTTTTTGTCTTATTTTTTCCCCTGATTTCGTTGTGCATAATATGTAGAGATAAGTAGTTTTGTTCCTTTTCCTGTAACTAATGTTATAGTAGGAACTATGATTGACTTGTTCACTTTTTCTGAGAACTCATTATGCGTTTTTTTAAAAAAATCACTTTCTTGAATTTATACTAGTAGTTGAATTAAATCTGATAACCCGAAATTCCTGGTTAAGCAAAATTACTTATACCTTGTGATGAATAGCATATGATTCAGACAACTGCCTTAGAACCCACTCATCCATGTGCAACAAACATTGAATGCCTGTGTGAACATACTTCTCTGCTAGGCATTACAGTTATCATTGCGTTGTTCAAACACATGTTCCTTTTGGCAGCTGTTCAGTTGGAATACTAGCATTTTTGTTTGGAGAAAGAAAAAAGGAGATAGTTTATAAGAGAGGAGAAGAGATGGGCTATCCACAGAGTCATCAAAATGAAGAGCACTTACTGGTGACAGAATTATAAGCATAGTTTTAAGAGTTGTACTCAGTAAGTTAAACATGTGTAAAATATGCAACCCTTAGTTAAAGGCCTTATTAGCAGTCTTAACTACTCAAGTAGTGAATTTTATCATTGTTTTAGTTATAACCATTTGTAAATAATTTTAAAATCTTAGAGGGGCTTTTAACCGAATGGACTAAAGTCTAAATTATAAGGATACAATCATTAACAATTTATCTAACATCTCAGGTCTTAAGAACTATTTTTAAATTTATTAAGACAATAAAAGTTAAAGATTAGAGTACATAGCTGGCCACCAATGGTGAAGTCAATATGGTATTTAACCTTGAAAACAAAATCAATCTTGCATGTTACTATTAACACTACAGTATAGACTGGAATCATGACTCATTCTATTTTTTTCTTTTTTCTGTTTTTTGAGGCAGTGTGTCACTGTGTAGTCCAGTCTGGCCTCCAAACCATGGTCATCTGCCTGCCTCAGCCTCCTAAGTCATTCAGTTTTTGGAGAAAAGAAAAGTGTTAGTTTGAGAATATTAAGGCAGTTTTCTTGTAGGAGTGTGATGTGTGTGCTTATAAGTAACAATCATTGTTAAACATTTAAAAAGAAGATTAAGAAAATAAAAGGATAGACTTTAATATAATGATCTGTGTTTGGATACATTCACAATTTACAGCCATTGCCTTTATGTTACCTTATGCTGCTGGCTTTTGTGCCACTGGAGATGACAATAGTGACCAAAGTATCTGTGTAGTTAAGACTTATTTTTGATTATTGTTTTGAAGTCTGGTTTCAAAAAATCATTGTCCCTCATAAGCTTGCTTTCTGCTCTTTCTAGTTACAACATAATAAAGATCATCTTTCTGTGCTGTAAAAAAAAAATAAAAAATAAAGGAATGTGTGAGCTTTGCTACAAAAAGAAATTAGATACATTGTCAAAGCCATGATTCATAAAAGAAAAGAATGCTAAATTATGGTACATTACAGCTAAAATAAATTCATTAATTTATATTTCTTAATTTAATGGTTGTGATTTTCTTACTATTATTAAAATGTTTGGGGTGATAAACTAGAGGTAAGTAATGAAAGCAATGTTAAGAGAGTCAAAAGAGAGATACTGAACAGTATATTGAGCTTTCAATGTCTATAGAAATTATAGTACATGTGAAAGAATACTAGGGGCCTGGGGACTTGGCTCAGTGGTAGAGCTCTTGCCTTGCATGCGCAAATCCCTGGGTTCAATCTCCAAGACCACCTAAAAAAAGCAGAATACTAATGTTTTTGCCTTTTATTGCAAAAATGGTTTAACCATAAAGAATATAAAAATCCAATAAAAATATACCATACGATCAAATCATATAAAGTTCTTAAGAATAAGTAATTACAGTAGCAGAGATATAGCAAACTATGAAAGAATTAATCTTGATGTACATAAATTTTACCCAAATACTCAGAAGAGGATTTGAATATAATAGACATAATAAAATAGAAGAATGATAAGAATGTTATACATAAAACATTTGGATGTGGTCTGTACTTCTGTCCCTCTAAAATGTTGTTTAAGCTTTATTAAAATGAATTTTTTGAAAACAACCATCTCAATTCAATGTGAGTAGTTCTCATAACTGCTACATTAATTCAGAGAATGACTTACACATGCCCTACATGGTGGTGGTGATACCATGGAAACAGTGATGATTCCCATGTTGGAAATGATAGACCCTGATGGTGAAGCATCTCACCATGCTGTTCAAGAGAGAGAAAATGGAAAACTGCTTTCCCCAATTTCCCACTTCACCATTTCCAGCTCTTACTGGCTGTGGATAACTAAACCTACAGACATTTAAACTGCATATAAAGATAAGTACTGTACTAATTGTATATAGATTTACAGCAAACTGCAATGAGTGTTGAAATATCAACAAACTGCAAACTATTTTGAATATAAGCTTGCAAGAAATAGCTAAGTCCCAGCCAATCTGTCTCAACCTGCCAACTGTTCATAACATGTCTAGGTAATGTGGAAACCCCATCAGACTATGCAAGACAAGGCAATACCCAGTTATAAACAGTCTAGTTATTTCCACCCATCACTTATTTTTCTGAGTACCAGTGTGCCTCGGTGGAGGTCTCTAAATGAGTCTTGTTTCTGAGTGATGTCCAATATACTAGTAATTCTTGCTCCCATGAATGTACTAAACTTAATTTATGGTCATATTTTTCTTTTTTAATACAAATGATGTGGAGGTTTAAAACTTCAGCTGCATCAGGCCAAAGCTATTCCTGACACCACACTGACATACACAGACCTCCAAAGGATCCCTCAGGTTTCCAGCCTCCCTTCAGCTCCCCTCTTGGTAGCACCTAATAAGCGGCCTGTCAAAGAAGAGATGAGGTGCAAGCTTCCTGTCTCCAGTAGAGTAAGCAAAGTCAAAAGTGGAAGGTAGAGGTTTGGGACTGCTGAGTGGCAAATTTAAAAACACACACACACATGCGTGCACACACACTTGCACAAACACACATGCACACAGACACATCTTTTGTGAGCTGTGCTTCTGTTTGTTAAACACAAAGAGTTGGCTCTGTGAAAAATTAACATCTCGTAAAACAGTGAGACATACAATACTGTTATGTTACCTTCATTGATGGACTCGCTACTCTCTGTGCCCTGAGATATAAGAGATAGCTGAGATTTTCTATCAGTGATCTTTGACATATACCATATTTCTTTTGCCAGAACACTAAAAATTAATACATGAGAAATTTCACTGGGATTGAATTTTTATTTTTCACCACTGTAACTTCACACCATTATTTCTTAGGTGGCCCTTTTCCAGGTGGAGCTGGAGGTGGCTTAGTTGGCCCAGGTGGCGGTGGTGGTTTCCCAGCTGACTTTTGTGATTTTTTGGACAAAACAAAAAGCACAAGTAGTAACAACAAGATGACAACAAAAATCACAATCAAAGTCGATTGTAGAGATTTTTGTTTGCCTTTCTTTTTAGAGATGATGAAGATGGTTCTATTAATCTTAGGAGGTGGGCCACTATCAACACTACCTCCAGTTCCTTTAAAGAAACAGGTGGGTGGAGCATACTCTGGGTCACAATGACAGTTAAATTTATTGTTACAGATGCCTCTCTCACTGCAGTTTCGAGGTGCACAAATAGAAAACCGAGGCATAGGAACACAACGTGAACTGATGCAAAATTTTCCTTCACCACACTCTGAACCATTTGACACTGCACCGATATCCTTGTCGACTCTTCCAAAATGGTAGTCAAGACTCCAGCACTGCTCAGGCTTCAAATGAATCCAAGAGAAGCTTTCATGGTCTTTCAAAAGAGGAATTTGTTTCACATTAGCACATTGAATTCTACCGCACAGAACATCTTCAGAACGACAGCCCTCATATTTCGCATTACGTCTAAAACAGTGACCAAAGCGGTCACCTTTGGAATTGAGTTCTTGGTAGCAACGCATATTGGCACTCGTGGCAGATGGACCAAATATTCTCTTACATTGGAAATTGTGATTATTACATGTCCCTTGAAAGCAGGAGCCCTTTCCCAGACAAGGATACCCATTAGCCACATACACATCTTCTGGACAGTCAGGGAATTTTCCATCACAAAACTCTGGCAGATCACACTCACTGATCTGTTCTCTACATTCTGTGCTACGATTTGCAATTCGACAGTCTTTGCAGCAAAGCCCCCCAGCACAGTTAGAACCATCAGACAGAGTACAGCTTGCTGTACAGCATGGATCACCTGCACATGCTTTTGCGGTACCGCAGTCGCAAGCCTCTCCCCGGTCACGCTGAGCATTCCCGCAGAACGCGATTCTGAACAGTCTCTGAGGTGCGTTATATATACAGGTTTTCAGAACCCAAGCAGCAAGCATAAATGAATCATAACTACAGTTGCTGAAAGCATTTGCAATTGGTGTTGAGCTCCTCATGATACAAGTGCCAGCACATTGACAAAATTCGTAGTCCTCATGAAACCCTGTAAGAATTCCAATCATACGAGCCACAATTGTTGAAAAGGTAAGCAGGTTATCAGTCGTGTGACACGCCGACCCACAACTCTGATGTGCTCCACACAGTCCCAAAAAATTTGCCTTTTGAGTAGTGGCAGTACAATAACGTTTTACAAAGATGTGAAATACAGCATCATGAACCACACGGTGATTATAGCTACCTGCCTTCCACTCACAAAATCTGTCATTCAGAAGACTTACACCTCTTGCCTCACGAACAAGGTTCTGATTCCATATGTCAATTGCCACAACTTGTACATCAGCACCCATTGTTTTATAATAAGAATCTACTATATTGGTACCTAATATTAGTTCTACTTCAACTGCTGTGGCATTCCTCCTCTTATAATTAAACCGTGCAGCGTCTATCACATAACCAACCTTATACCAAAATTGGTGGACATACCAATTTTTAATGGTGCTTTGCTTCAGAATGGAATGCTTAATCTCTTTAAGATTCATTTGCCATTCTTTTGCTGTGTCTTCTGTCACTTCATGTGGGGAGGGGTAATATTTATCATCCATGGGGTGCACTTTATATGCCAAATGTTCAAATGTGGTAGAAAGATTTTTGGGCTTGATTTCATAAAGTGAGTTGTTTATGTATAGCATTCCTTGCAAACCACCAAAACAGGTGCTAAGAGCAACCAGAGACTTGAGGTCCCCTTCAGCATACCCATGATAGTAGCAATCCCTTGGAATAAAAGGATGGTCCTCTTGGAGCATGCCCTGGTCTGTGTAGGTGACCAGAGAGATGTGTTTGGGCACTAACATCTTTTTGGCCTTCATATGGACAATGTGCCGCTGGCCTGCAAGGTGTAGGCTGTAGGAGACCCAGCCTGTATTCTTTGTGCCTCTTGAAGTGCCAGGTATCCTCAAAGGTATCACCACCTCAGGAGGATTGAAGTATTGGCAGTTGCCAGTCAGAGGCCACATAGACAGAATGGAAAATGCCCAAGTCCCGAGAAGTAAGAGAGTGAACTTCATATGTCCCAAAGTGTCATCCAGTGCTTTTCTAAAATAAAGGGTGAGAGCACACATGGCCCACTTTGGCTGTCTTCTCCCTTTGATTTAGTTTTATGTAGTCATGATACTTAGTGGTCTATCTTCTGGTCAAAACGATTCATCAGAACAGCAACTAAAAATGAAACAGAAATGAAGACAGAGACAGCAGTTTTAATATGAGCAGGTAGTTGTAGAGAGAAAAGAGATGGGGTTAGTTTTTGATTCAACCAATGCACAAATGTAACAAATTAAATTTTCTTTTGAGTATTTCTAAGAAAGACTGATACTGGTTTATAAAAGAAAGACTGATACTGGCTCAGGTTGATGACTATTGTACCTAGAAAAGATACATATACATATATATACATATATATATACACACATGTATATATATATACATGTATATGTGTATATATACATACATACATATTAATATTTCCATAGAAAATATTTAAAATAATAGTGCCATCAGTGAAACAAACATATGTTCTTTTCATGGAACTATCATGTTTTATATATAATGACTACAAAAAATGGTATTGACCTATTTCAAATAAGAAATTACCTAGGGAGATCAACTTGGAGAAATACATAAAAACTGTTCACATATATTACATTTTCTCATGGTCATTAATATGTTACTCCAGGCAATAGTAAATCCTTCCTGAAATTCTGGAAACTTGAAATTATCGAAAGATCACTAATAGTTCAAACACATACTGTTCTTTCTCAGGCACACCTTCACTCAGGGAGACAAAATATACGCATGGAATTGAAGTGGGTGGAACGATTGGAGGGGCTAGAGGAATATTATTCAATATAGTTGTCTTCCACGCATAGTTAAGAAACAAAATATTTTGAACTTCTCTGGGCAGACCAAATGGAAAGGAATTCAATCTTTCTAATACAACAAAATTTCTACTTTAGGAGATGGAAAAGAAATAAGTGAACACCAACAGGTGGGAAGCATATTTTGTTTCATGTAGATAGGATTTTTGATACAGTCCAATGGCATCAAAAGTTCAGGTTTGATTAGGCTAGATATAGGCTAAGTCCTGACAGAAACATTCACAGACAGTTTTCAATAAACATACATACTTGTACCTATATATTACGCAAATCTGTACAACTGGATCTCATATTTCACATGATACCCTGATTTTCATTATGCTAATGAGAATGTCCACAAGCTTCATCAGCACACTGAACTAAACAGATAATAGAGTGAGGGAAATTAAGAATTGTCGGCCTCGTTAAGGAAATATCAGATATCACAGTGGGTAACACAAAATGAATCACAGAAAACTCAACACTCACCTCTTCCAGACCCTGCACACATTACTCTTGTACTTATTCTAAGCTTTTGACTTCTTCCACTTAGCATCATTATGATGTCACTTCCTGCATGAAAAGCAACAATTTTTTCTTCCCTAGTCATCCTTCTTTCAAAAGAACTACTTGTTCCTACATACATATCAACAGCATTATATTGATCATTGGGAATCCTAGTACAGGAGATGCTTTTCATTCTCAAAATCCCCTTATGCCTACTGCATGGATGGTGGGTTATAATGAATTTGGATTACCAGTATCATTTCCACCTCAGTGTACCGTAACTTACTCTCTTCCTTATTCTTAACTCAATCCTCTCGAGTCATCCACTTAAACCAAAAAACGTGAGACTGACTTACAAATTCTTTCTTTGCTGATTATCATATCCATGTGCACAATCCATATATCACCCTGAACTGGGTTATATTTGACCATACAACTCATTTTTCAATGTCTTTGCCATCATGCTACAGCTAGGGCCTGAATTTTATTAGCAGCTTTGAGCCTGCTATAGTTTCTATCTTCATATCAACCACAGCTTGTATTCACATTTGACACTCACTTATTCATCAAGTTTAGGAAAGAATCGAGTGACTTGTCTTCCCTGATCACCTCCAGTTTCAAATCCCATCTTTATAGTGTGCTTTAGTCTATCTCACTGGTTTCATAATATGACTATGGACAGGAAAAAAAAATTGGGATCTTTGGACCGAATAATGTTGTGTAATAGTAAATACTAAAAGGCATGGATTCTTCCAATGATCTTCCTACTCAGAACATACACACTGGCTCTGTGTGTGTGTGTGTGTGTGTGTGTGTGTGTGTGTGTATGTGTGTGTGTGTAGCAAAGCCTGAATAAATATTTTTGCCTCTGTACTGTAGAACTACACAGTTGCATGACTAACCCAGAAATGAATAATTGGGTCTTATTATCTTCCTGGGTCCAGTCTCCTTGATGGATTATTTTACCAGGTATCTATAAGGAAAGATTTTTTTACTTCAGAACTCACATGTGAAACCTCAGTGCATATTGTTCTTCAGGTATATGTAATTTAAATTCTAGAATTAGCTGCCTAATGAGTATCTCTCAGTGGAATCGAACAAGTGGCAGGTTCTTGCTCACTGTGGCCCCACCATCGCCAACTATTTTGAGTTCTCGTGAATTTCAGTGTAAATAAATTGGATTTCCTTCAATATGCATGAGTGTTCCTCCAGTATGAATGAGTTTGATTTCCTTGCCCTTGTTTCTATGCCCTCTCCACACTATAGAATCGTTTCATTTCTCTATTTCTGCTCAGATTATCACCTTGGGCCTAATTATTTCCTCAGCATTAAACTATGCAATGGTATACTTGAAATATACCAAAGAAATGTTCAACCCAATTTATACCATATTCTATGAGAATCAGATATCTGTGTATAGTTTTTGGAGAGGTAACTAAGTAAGGAAGTATCTATTAACTGAACATAAAAAGGTTTACCTCCTATGGAGTACTGTTATCAGAAAGAATAGGCCAAAAGTGAAGCAGGAAGAGAAGACTAGAATTCAGTAATAGTGGGGGGAATCAATTTCATGGGTGAAATGACAACCTGACTAAAAGTGCTGCAGCACTAAACAAACTGCTCTGAGAAGCCATGGAAACAAGTGTAGTTATTCATTATTCTTCAAAGTTCTTTAGAACTGTGAACCAAAAGGCAGTATCATACATGTGGTGGTATGTCAGTCTGAACTTAGTTTTTCAGTCTGTTCCATTGATCCTCAGTTCCATTTTTCTGCCAGTACCATGCTGATTTTGACACAGTAGCTTTGTAGTATTATTTAAAATAAGGGATTGTGATGTCTCCTGCCTACCCTTTGTTGCCAAGGATTGCTTTTGCTACTCTAGGCCTCTTCTGGTTCCAGATGAATTTTAGGAAAGTTTTCTCTAGATTTGTGAGATATAGCAATGGTTTTTTAATTGGGAGTGCATTGAATGTGTACATCAGTTTTGGGAGTATGATAATTTTCATGGGTGAAATGAAAAACCAAACAATGTTGGTTTGTTCTATCCATGACCAAGGAATATCTTTCCAAAATCTAAAATTCTCTTTGATCTCTTCTTGCAAAGTACTGTAATTTTCACTGGATAGATCTCTTACTTCCTTTGTTATATTGATTCCTAAGTATTTCAGTTTTTTAGATTCTTTTCTGAAAGGTGTGGTTTCCCTAATTTTTTTCTCAGTTTTTTTGTTGTTTGTGTACAGGAGTGATATTGATTTTTTAGTGTTGACTTTGTATCCAACTATGTTGCTGAATTTGGCTATTAAAGCTATAAATCCTTTGCTGCAGTTTTTGGGTTCTTCTACATAGAGTATCATATCATCTGCCAATAATGGTAATTTTACTTCTTCCTTTCCTATCCTTATTCCTTTTGTTTCTCTTTCTTGTCTAATTGCTCTGGTTAATAATTCTCGACCTATATTGAATAGGAGTGGTGACAGTGGACATCCTTGTCTTGTTACTGATTTTAAAGCAAAAGCTTTCAGTTTTAAACCACTTAATATTATGTTGGCTTTGGGTTTGTCATAGATGGCTTTGATCAGATTGAGGTAAAGAGCATCTATTCCTATTTTCTGTACGGTTTTTACCTTGAGTGAGTGTTGGACCTTATTGAATGCTTTTTCTGCATCTATTGAGATGATCATGTGAGTTTTGCCTTTGGGTTCTACTGATATTGTGTATTACATTAATTGTTTCACATATATTGAACCATCCTTGCATTCCTGGGATAAATGCCACTTGGTCATGATGTTTAATCTTCTTGATGATTTGCTACATTCTGTTTGCTAGTATATTACTGAGAAGTTTTGCAGCTTTATTAATTAGTGGATTGGCCTGTAGTTCTCTTTTTTGGTTGAGTCTTTCTCTCTTTTTGGTATCAGGGTAATCCTTTCCTCTAAGAATGAGTTAGGGAGAGATCCTTCCCTTTAAAATTCATTGAAGTATTTGGGAAGCATTGGCTTTAAATTTTCTCTAAATTTCTTTTAGCTTTCAGCCTTGAATGCAACAGCATCTGGGCTTTTCTTTTTTGGTAAGTTTTTTATTACCTTTTCAATTTTGGTGGCTGATATGGAGTTATTCAGTATTTTTATGTCTACTTCATTCAGCTTTGGTAATTCATGTATTTAGTACTCACAAATTTCCTCTGCATTTTCCATCCTATGAGAGTAAAAATGATCTTCTAAATTTCTACAGGATCTGTAGTGATTTCATCCTTTTAGTTCCTTATTGCATAGATTTGAGTTTTTCTTTCCTTTTTAGATAAGGTTGGCTAGGGGTTCATCAATTTTTTTTATTCTTTCTAAGAACCAATTCTTCAAGTCATTAATTCTTTATGTTGTTTTCATAGTCTTCATTGCATTTATTTCTGCTCTGATCTTTATAATTTCTTGCCTTCTTTGGGCTTTGGGCTTGACTTGCTCTTATTTCTAGAAGCCTGAGGTGCAGCATAAGACTGTTTATTTGTGCCTGTTCGGTTTCCCCAATGTTGGAATTTAGTGCTATAAATTTCCCTCTGAGAAGGAGTTCCATTGCATCCCACAGGTTCCTGTAAGTTGTATCTGCATTTTCATTTGATTATAAAGATTGTTCAATTGCATCTGTGATACATTGGTTGTTCAGGATGGAGTTACTTAATTTCCATGTTTTTACTGAGTTCATTTTTTGTCTTTAATTTCCATTTGCAAGGTATTATGGCGCTGATAGTTTTCATGGTATAATTTCAATTCCTTTGCATTTACTTAAGCATGTTTTGCAGACTAGTATGTGGTTTTTTTTTTAGAGAATGTCCCACGTGCAGTTGAGTAGAATGTGTATTCTGATTTTGCTACGTGGAACATTCTGTAAATGTCCATTTGTTCACAAGTTTGATTTAGTTGTGTTATTGCTTTGCTGATTTTATCATCTAGTGGATCTATCTCTTTGTGACAAAGGGGTGTTAAATTCCCTGTAATGATTCTGTTACTGCTTACATGATCTTTCACTGTCTTTTTAAATTTGTTTTATATAGTTTGTTTGCTCCTGTATTTGGTGCATAGATATTCATGATTATTATCTCTTCCTCTTTCAGGTTTCCCCTAACAAGTATGTAGTGACAGTCTTTATCTCTTTTGATCATTCTTGATTTGAAGTTCACATTTTATCCCAACAGAATAGCTATGCTGCTATTTTCTGGGTTTCTGTCATATGGAATATTATTTTCCATCCACTGACTTTGAATTTATGAATTTCCTTTTCAGTTAAATGTGTTCCTTATATACAGCATATTGTTGGATTCTTTTTCTTAATCCACTCTGGAAGTCTGCTTCTTTTGATTGGTAAATTGAGACCATTTACATTAGTGGTTAGAGTTGACATGTATTGGCTTGTCAATGTTATGTTATTTTCCAGCTGTTGTTTTCTCCCATTTCCCTCCTATTAATTGATTACTTTGGTTTTGCTGCCTTTCTGTTCTTGCTCTTGGAATTGTGGTCATTTCTATCTCTTTCTAGAATAGCTATTTGTACTCTTTGTAAGGCTGCTTTGGTGCTCATGTATCTTTAGTTGTTCGTTATTCTGGACATGTTTTATTTCTCCATTAATTTTGAAGTCTAATTTTGCAAGGTACAACAACTTGTGTTGGAAGTTTTTTTCTTTCAGGACCTGAAATTCTTCAATTCAAGCTCTTCTTGATGGTTTGTGTTCAGAAGTCTGCTGTGATTCTAGTGGGCTTTCCTTTACATGTGGTATGTTTTATTTTTTTCTAAAAGATTGTAACATTCTGTTCTTTTGCTCAGTTTCTGGTATTTTGATTATTGTATGTCTGGGTGTAGATTTATTTTGGTAATGGCTAATTGTAGTTCTGTATGCCTCACTTAATTGTACATCAGATCCTTTTTCCATGCATGTGAAATTTTCTGCTATTACTTCTGCAAGTACAGTTTTTATCACATTTGTATTTATGCATGCTGTTTCATTGACACCTATTAAACTCACATTGTTTTTCTTTGCTTCATCTTATACCTGTAGAATTATTT